TTGATATAAAGTTTGATGTTTCCATGTTTAAAGAGATTAAAGAGAGGTTAGAGAATTTTAGTTTGGAAAAAAATATAAGAGCTTTATGCAACAAGAGATTACTAAATGAGAAAAATCAGACATGAAAACTTACCAAAACGCTCAGATCTGTTGTGAAAGAGGAGACATAGAAGAAGTCTACGCCAGAAGACTTAAGACTACGTCAGAAGACTTAAGACTATGCCATAATACTTCCATGAAAGTCTTCTGAACGTCTTCTTAAAGTCTTCCAATATCTAACTCAGATCTGAAAAAACTTGCATATCCAAAAATGTTCAAATGACATCAAAATAGAGAAAAATTCAAAAAAACAATGTTTTTAAGCTTAAATAATAACTAAAACAATCACATTAGTTGAATCTATAACTTAGAATCTAATATATAAAAGACACAAAAATACATATCAAAAAATTGTAGATCTACCTTTAAATGAGTGAAAGATGACATCTATTTAATGAAAAAACCGGAAAACAAGATAAAATAGTGAGAAACACATAAAAATTAGAAAATGATATAATGTTTGGTGTCATCAAATTCAAATAGATTAGAGAAAGGTTAGAAAATTTTAGAGTGAGAAATATTACATTTTTGCTGCCTCCAATTGAGAGGAAAAAGAGAATGTGTAAATTTTTATTTATATAGGAAGACAAAAACTCCAATTAGGTTAAATGTTTTCGATACAGAAGACTTATATGAAAGTTTTTCAAGAAGTTTTTTAGAACCTAAATTTACTATTCACCCAGAAGATTAACTTTGAATACTTACTAATCGCCCATAAGACTTAATATTCACCCAAAAGACTTACTATTGGCCTAAAAGACTTACTATTCGCCTAGAAGACTTACTTTAACGGAAAACCTAAATTCTTGTAAAATTTTAAGCAGGAACTGTTGCTAAGTCATCCGGAGTCTTCTAGTGCATTATATCTTCAAAAATTTAAGTCTTTCAAAACCCTAAAATCAAATATACAACTAAATCACATACAAAAACTTTATCAAACTTAAAAATAAACTTATAAAGTGTTTACTATACACAAAACTAAACACATACAGCTAAAACTTACTTTAAAAAAAAATAAATGTTAAGATTCCAATATCTAACCCTAAAAACACATACAATACTACAACATAGTTACCAAACCCTAAACCAAATAATATCATGACTAACTTACATTCACTCATCTATGTTGAAAACAATTCAATTTTATTAAATCTATATTTATATCACTTACAAAGGTCTATAATTAGATGATTATGATTTTTACCCTATCAAAATATTTCTTATGAAATTTATAAACTATTTTAAGAGATAATACACTACAAAACTTTCACTCGAAGACTTAAGGAAGACTTACTGGAAAACTTAATTTTAGACGGGAAAACTAAATTATTTTAACATTTTAAGCCGGAAATGTTGTTAAATCATCCAGTAAGTCTTTTAGTGCATTATATCTTTGAAAATTTAAGTCTTCCAAAACTCCAAAATCAAATATATAACTAAACAAAATAAAATAAACTTTATTAAACCTAAATTAAACTTATAAAGTGTTTTATCTACACAAAACTAAACACATATACCTAAAATTTACTTTTTTAAAATATAAATGTTAAGATTCCACAATCTAACCCTAAAAACACATACAAGACTACAACATAGTTACCAAATCCTAAACCAAAGAATATCATGACTAACTTACATTCACTCATCAATGATAAAAAACAATTCAATTTTATTAAATCTAAATTTATATCTTTTACAAATGTCTATAATTAAATGATTATGATTTTTCCCATATAAAAATATTTTTTTATGAAATATATAATTTATTTTTAAGATCTACAGTATGAGAAGATTTTCAAGTGAGAAGACTTACCTGAAATCTTCTCACTCGCAGGTTATAATGGTAACCTACAATCCTATTTTTTTGTTTGGCTATGAGGAGATATTTGTAATTTCACTAGCATTTTGATTTATTTTTGCATTTGAATTGAGTTCGAGTATATTTTTTGCATTTAAAATCAAGTTTTGAGTCATATTTGACAAATTCCCCTAACAAAAAAAGGAATATACACATATGTGTCCACATCACATTATTTACGAGAATGAAAAGTACCTAACATTGGACAAAAAAAAGTACCTAACATAATTAGGTAGAAGTACCCAAAAAAAAGGTGGGCTAATGCATCATCCCAAGTAAAACACATCAAATCAGAATAAAAAATTTACAAAAATACAGCAAATCAAATATTAAAAATCAATATCCGTGAAAATCGAAGTAAATCATTAGAAAGAAGATTTCGCTCCGATCTAACAATATAAATAAATAAATATATATATATATATATATCTTGATTATATTTAAAGAATTAAATATATATATAATCATAAAATTATTATTCTAACATATGATTTGACAAATTATGTTCACATGATTACTTATATAAAGAAGAGAAAAAACTTATGACAATTATATTTTATTTCTTTATTTTGTGTTATTATATTGTTAACTTAGTTTAAAAAAAATTATAAAAAATGTAGTTTCACTACTTATTTTTATTTTTATTTATATATCATATAAAAAGTAGTTTGCACAAAAAAATTGTATCGAATTTTTAAAATTATTTGTATTAATCAATACGAATGAGATATCCGTAAGCATTCGTAAGTATCTGCAAATATTTTTTATTTTCTGGATATCCGTATTTTTCTAAGCAAAGCAAATCAAAAAATTAAATATCCGTAACATACGAAGCAAATCACAAATATCTTCAAAACCCCGGATATTTTTTCCGTGTCCAGCCCTAGTCGTGAGATACATCCATCCATCTAATCTGTTAAAATAGGAGTACAATTTTAGATTGTCCCTTAATTTTTCACTATATTTACACTGTCATGCCACTGATGTATTAAATGAAACTATATTTATGGATATTTTATCTTTTCCAAAATTAATATCGAATCTATTAAAATGAGAGTACAAATTTAGATTGCCCCTTAATTTTTCACTATATTTAAATTTTCATGCCACTGATGTATTAAATGAAACTATATTTATGGATATTTTATCTTTTCCAAAATTAATATAATAAAAATTACTCCTAAGTTTATATCTTCCATATTTTCTCTAAAATTAGGGAAATATTTCCTAAATTTATATATTGCATAGCTATATTTTTGTCTTGAACTACATTATCAATACTATTAACATTGATGCACATCAATAATATAGATGAACTATTTATTTAATAATATAAGTTACATTTGTCTCTATGATCACTCTCTCCAACGTTATTCTTCTTTTTTATTTTTTTCTTTGTTGTGAACAAACTTTTATTCTCACCAATATAAATATATTAAATACACCACTATAACTGTTTACCAAATTTAATGTACAAAAATTATTTGTGTTTTATTTGTATTGTATTAGGAATTATTGTTAAGTATTTGCATATTTTCGATTAACACTATTTGTGTTCTTAACTAACAATTATTTTTTGATACACACAATCTTTAAGAATATTTTTACTATTAAAAACTGAATCATCATTTATTAAAAATTCGTGATCATACCTTTTTATAGAGGAAAAATAATATAATTTAGCTTATCTGTAATTAAAATTTCTAACTGATTTAATGTATCATTGAATTAGCATATACAATATATGTATTTATTATATTACTTTTTATGCTCTATTTAAAAAAAATTCACGGTTAGAAACATGATAAAAATATGTGGATTAAAAATCATGATCAAAATAATGATTTTTACACTTTTATGCTTTTACAAATGTTATATACATACATAGATCTAAAACCATGATCAAAATATGAATATGAAGAGTCATTCATTTAAATTATAAAATATAAATAATTATTTTATATAATATATAAATAAAATATAAATTAATAAAAACACATACCCGTTCGCGAGTGGATACAGCTATAGTTAATTAATAAATCTAAAACAACACTTAAAAGTGGGCTAATGCATCATCCCAAGTAGAGATGGAACTTGGGCTCTTCTCTCTCGTTCCGTTTCGGACCGCTGCAGGTTCGTCTTCTAGCGAGACGTGGCGGGCCTGTCCCGTGTGGGATGCGGTCTTGAAAACAGCTGCCCAATCTCGTGCCGCATTTTCTGTAGTCCTTCGCGAGCCGTCCTGCAGGATATGTGATAATATGCGCAACATAACGATTCATGTCACTCCAAAACGCTTCAAGCCATTCTAGAACATAGCTCAAATCGTTGATTCAACTGGATATAATTTATCAATTATTTCTTTGATTATTTTTATTCAAAACAATAATTGTAATTATTTGTATCACACCCAAAACATAACTCATAAGTTCATAACCAATGTTTTAGTTTGCTGAATCCAAAAATTAAATAAAATGAAACACCAAATCAAAAATGTCAATCCCAAATTAAATAAAAAGAGAAACCAAATCAAAATACTACTAAAGCTCGAATCGTCATCGCCGGAGCTGTAGTCGTCATCACCGGAGCTCGAATCATCATCATCGCCCGAGCTCCTTACGTTTTCTTAGGAGAAGTCACATGAATGTTTTCTTCTCACTCATTCTCTCGTTTTTTCAGGTAAAACAGAAAATAAAGAAAAAAAAATGCGGGTCCTAGTTCTGCGGAACCCATTTTGGCCTATCCCGCAAAAGACCCATCCCGCGAGATCCGCAAATTTTCGGACCTAAAAAACCTCGTCCCAATACCGTCCCGTGACAGGCCCACGATCCAAATCCATGATTACCATCTTTAATCCCAAGTAAACACACAACAAATCAGAATAAAAAATTCACAAAAATGCAGCTCATACCATCCACAAATGTTTTCAAACTACAATCCTGTCTATTCAAAACATTGTTCTTTTCTTCAGAAAAAAAAAACTTTCAAACTACAAATTTTATAAATCAGAAAAAATTGTGCTCCACGCTAGGGTTTAACATACAAATCAGACCTCTATTCTCTGTAACAAGTCAAAGCCACCAGTTCCCGAAAGTGCCGGCAAACCAAGACATATTCTAGCCGAGGGAGTTTCTAGCCAGTCCACTTCTCCATAAGTAGCTGCTTGGACAATAAACTTAGTAGCTGTTTCAAATGTCATTCTACAGAACGGAGAAGTTGACTCTGCAATCCCTCCAAAACGGCTCATTGGACGGTATCCACCAGAAAACGTCATGTAATCTGCAATGAGGTTCAAATGTCTGATGCTTACTGATATACCGTATGATTTGAAAACGTGGTTTATTTCTCTGATTATAGTCTCTCTTGCCGCTTCAACTCCAAAAGTGTTTAGCATGTCGTGAATGCTGTTGCTGTACAAGTATCTGATGTCAAGCTTATCTTGGAGCTCCCAGATACCAGAAAAATCAACTCCTGATGCGTGGACAGCTGGTGAGGCTTTCTTTTCCTCGTTGGAGATGTCTTCTCTCTCCTTTGGTTTGTCTCCATAGTATATCATTTGAGGATCACCACAGTTAGCTACTGTGCACCGTTCGATTCTCCCATAGTTCTGGATGTAAACCTTCTGTGCTGTCTTCTGAGCAACCTGCGTGTCAAAAAAAGAAGTATAAACCACCTAGGGTTTAGCACACAAGAGAGTACATAAAGACAATAGCTTGAAGAACAAGGTACCGGGGCAAGTAAGATATGAGGATGCTTTGAACGAAACTTGAAATGGAACTCAAATGTTTTTCCTTTGCCTTCCACAAAGATATGTCTGTCCTTCTTATGTCTAACAAATCTCTCTCTCTTCTTCTTCTTCTTCTTTTGTGGCTCATGAGTCTCTTCCTTGCTCTTATCCTCACTGTCCATCTCAGGGTTATCATCTACTCCACTAGTTGAACATGGTTCCTTCTTCTCATCTTCAGAACTTTCCTCATAATCCTGCTCATCTGCTTCTTGCTTCTTCAGCTTCTCTGCATCATCATCACTCTCTGTACCCTCATCATCATCAGCATCATTATCATCATCTTCAGAACTTTCCTCATAATCCTGCTCATCTGTTTCTTGCTTCTTCAGTTTCTCTGCATCATCATCATTATCATCATCATCTTCAGAACTTTCCTCATAATCCTGCTCATCTGCTTCTTGCTTCTTCCCTTTCTCTGCATCAAGGTCATCAACCTCTGTACCCTCATCATCATTTTCATTATCATTATCATCATCTTCAGTCTGCTTTCCACTAGCGGAATCATCATTAACCGTATCATTTCCAGCTTTTGGACTGGCTTTTTTCTTAGCCTTTATGCCTCTGATTCTACAAAGCATTTTCATGTGAGTCTTTATAGCATCTTCCAACTTCCTCAAAAACCTAACCTTCATCGTCTCTTCCCAATCCTCATAAGTAATATCAGTGTGCTTGGGATAATGATCTGGCTTATACAGATTGATCTTAAGCTTGTGAATACTACAAACTTCTCTTCTTTTTCTTTTTCCTTTAGTACCACAAACTTTACCATCATGTACTGCAAATGGTACAACGGACACTTCCATACTCTTTATAATATCTGCTACCGTAATCTTCCTTAATTTATCAGTAACATGAATTGCATCATCCCTGCGCAAATGACAGATAAGTAGAGAAATATTTAAACATGAAACATCTTCTCAAGAAAAAGACAACTTACTTTGTTTTGCCCTTGAGCAAAGGGCAAGTCATGATGGGTGTCTTAATGTCTGCAGAAGCAGTCATCAATATCTCTTGTAAACGTGGGATTCCTAGTGTCACATTCATTTCTCCACGTCCAGCAAGATGGAAAGTATTCAATCTGTAAATTGACAGAGTAAAAGAAAATTATAAGCAAAATATATTATGGAGAATGCAAAACATAAGAAAAGAATATAACTAACGTCATCTGTGTTGATGGCTCTCCTACAGATTGTGCAGCAAGTACACCTACAGGCTCCCCTGGCTGGGCTAGACTTGCAAAGAATTTTGATTTCACCAGCTTCAGTAGATCTTCTTGTCTCGCCATTTTAGAAGCAATACGTTCATTCATAGGCATTGACTCTATAAACTTCTCAGCTTTCTTCTCAAGAGAGATAGGCAGATCAGTAATGTAACTACTGGATCCAGATAGCATGTCTTCACTGCATCTTTGAAAGATCATATCTTGATTCTGAACCACATCAAGTTAAATAAAGAACAACATAAGTTTTATAATAGCAGATACGGGAAAGGCTAAACCGTTTCGAAAGGGAATATGCTTACTAGTGTAAGTTCTTTGAATTTTTCAATGAAGCTAGACTTTTGAACATCCACACCATCTTCACCATATTGGAACTGAATGATGGACCCATCAGCATCCCGGACAGTACAATCATAGTTGACTTTCAGGCTCTCGAGATTTTTCATCAAACATCTCTGCAGATACCCACTACGTGATGTCTTCACTGCTGTATCAACTAACCTGTAAAAAAAGAATATCTAAAGTGTTTACTATCCACATGAACAAAAATGACAAAGACTCTTAACATAAATATCAGAGGAAATACAACACAAGACTAAATCAAGTAAAAGTTTTACACAGAAACCATGTTAATAAAATTTATGTTGAAGAATAAAAGGACACTTTTAAAAAGAGGAAGTGCTACTTACCCTTCTCGTCCAGCCATACAATGAAAGTAATACTCTTGTGGCCGGAGACCACTAAGGAATCTGTCACTAATAAAACCTCCAGCTCTAGGCGACCAGTCCCATGGATGGAAGCAAGGTAATGTCTTCCCTGAAACCATTCGGGGAACTCTTTTTCCTTCTAAATCTTGCTGGCCAAGGTGAGAAGATATTTGTTGGAAGTTAACCTGCGCAAAGTCAGACAACATGAGAAAGAAATGATAAAAATTACTTGCAGCACTAACAGGCTTCACTAACCTACACAAAAACTCTTAGATACTGTAAATGCGTACTTGAACAACCAAAAACAACAAGCGTAGTGTAAGAAAGACTCACCTTACTGCCCTTAGCCCCGGATATTGTCATTAGAGATATACAATTCCTTCCAGGTGTTTTCAGCAACCCATCAGAGAGCAAATCGTTCATCACCCCCTTGCCTGAACACTGGTTGAGCTCACTGACGATGCTCCTGTCCAAAGATGCCAACGCAGGTTCTCCATCCTCGTAAAGAATTCTCTCAGTTCTGGATTTCATGTCCTTAGGATCTGCAGGAAAGACAGTAATATGTGATTAGTTTATTTGGAAAACTCTCATGCTTTATACTTTACAATGTAACAAATGACCATGTTGACAAGCATGCACACATAAATGAAGCTAAATGTACATACCTATCTGAGCATTAGCATCGATGCCAAAGGTCTTACGGAGTACTTTTTCACCAACCCCTTCACATTCTTGAAGTTGCTTCGTCCTCTCTTCATCCACATCTTTCAAAATAATAAGATCATCAACTCCACAGGTGAAACCGTGAATCTGAAAGATGTTGAAACAAAAAAGGTTCATGATAATACAAAACTCTGTTAACAAATGAAAATAAACTATAAACTTCATGAGAGCAAACAAACCTGAAGGAAGACAGTGAAGAGACGACTAAAAACAGAAAGAAGGTTTCCTGCAGCATTAGAACCATAGAGCTCATGCACCGTATGAACCAACCCATAGTCTGCAAACTGAGCCTTGTCAATCACACCGCAGACAAATTCATTTTTCCTGATGAGCAACTTATCTTCATTAAAATCATGTTTCGATGACTTCTCAATGTCTTTCTTCTTTTTGTTGGATCTACATTTGAAGAAGTCAACAGGAAGTTTGGTAGATTTCTCTACGCTGAATGGTGGATGACCTTTGGTTATCTCATTCAACACTGAAGTGATGACCTAAGGAACTAGCTTGGTTAGAGAACCACCAAAATTATAAATTAAATCAAAAACAGTAGCAGAGGAGTATTATGATAACAACCTGCTTTCCAGTCCAAAGAGGTACTGGTTTTATAATAGCAGGCGTGACAGTCAACAGCTCTGTATTAGAACCAGATTGTATGACTTTCTTGCCAGATCTTCCAGAGAAAGATTGCAGCACCATGTCAGTCACGCCAGAACTAAAAAGAAGCTGATTGAATTCTTCTTTGTCCAAAAACGTGTCCCCTTTAGTGAGCAAAACCGAACTGACTATATGATCCTGTAAAGTAAAAATGCAAGGTGATACATATGAATGATCAACAACCCAATTTGTGAAGTTGGATACAAGGGTTTGAAGTTGAATAATGTAGAACCTGGATTAAAGATCGAAGTGGATCACCATTAGAAGGCCTTGCATATTGGTTGTTGGCATTGACTATATTGTAGGCCTCAGCTCGTGAAATCTCATCTTGTGGGAAATGCACATTCATCTCATCCCCATCAAAATCTGCATTGTATGTACTGGAACCAAAGTTTTTTTTTTTTTTAAAGTCAGCCTTGAGATACAAGAAAAAAAAAGCATATGTTATATCAACAAAGACATGAGGGAGGAGATCTAATTATCTCTATCCTTGGAGGGCTACCTGCAATTTGCATAGTGGAGACGAAGTGTCTTCTCCCCCTTAAGAACACGGACTATGTGAGCCATTATACTAGGCTTATGTAATGTTGGCTGCCATAACACCAAGACAAGACATTTAATATGTTAGGGCAATACTAATGAAAGAGAATAGTATGTGCCACCACACCTGACGATTTACAAGGACGACATCACCATCTTGCATATGTCTATAGACAGTTTTACATTCAGAGTTGACATCACAAGTCTTCCCAAGTTTTGTAGTGACTCCTCGTGAGGACGGTAACTTTCTTGCAATTGCGATTCGTGCTTTTCTGCATTCAGGCAGCTTCCTTGTAGACTCTTTGTCAGAGTAAAGTGTTGCTCCCGGATAAATGTCGGGACCATTAATGATAGCCTCCCTCAACTTTTCGACATTCCAAGGAGTCACCCTCTGCACCGAAAAAACAAACAAACATAAAGTTACACACTACACATGTCTACAAGCAAAGATAATAGTTGTCTTCATCATACCTCAGGATAGGTCAAATTCAAAGCAAAACAAGGAGGAATCCCAATGTCATTGACAGCGATATAAGGATCTGGAGATATCACAGATCTGCATGCATGATTCACTCTCTTTCCCATTATATTTTGCCGAAATAAACCCTCTTTCTTCTCCAGCACTTGACATATTCCAGTCCCCTCATCTCTCTGACTTTTAACTGTAAAGGATATAAAGCCATTTTAACAATAAGTAAACTCTTCGTAACAGATGCACCTAAAAAACAAGTGAATGAGCTAGAAGCTAACCTGATGAAGTTTTGCTATCAAACAACACATTGACTGATTCTTGGAGATCCATCCATCTGGAAACTATATTCAATTTCTCTAATTGGTTAGCACGAGCATTCTCAAGGGCTATATTTGATTGTAAGACCTTAGCTAGCCCTACGGTTTGAGGATGTTCCATAACCTGTATGAAACAAAATCGTTAATACATAATCTCAAGAGAACGCTGTGAAAGTAAACAGCTACTTACGCTATCACCTCCTTCTGTACGAGGTCGAAATTTAGGAGGAGGCACAACAACACTCTCCATAAAGAACATAGAGTAGTCATTTTTTTCAGATCCACTCTTCCAAAGATCACCAATGAAGGAGCAAAACTCAGGGTGATTTCTCCACAAATCTTTTAATATTTCCTTGACCTGAAACAAGTGTAGTAATAATAGCAAAAACATTATAAACCTTTTTAAAATTCTGGTCGTGCCTAATAATAAAATCAGAACATAGTAAAAAAAAAATACAAACCTCACTAGGCCAAACGTCGTCTGTTTTGATCATTTTCTTGTGTTTTGGAAACTCTTTAGCTGCTTCCGAAGATTTCCCTTTTTTAAGAGGACATACCTTGCGAACCCATCCGAACATAGGCTTCTCTAGTTTATAAGCTTCTGCTCCGCAATATTTACACTTCCATGATTTCAACCTCAGATTTTTATTCATGAGGCGAGTGAACTCAGCAAACTGAAGAGATGTCCACCTCTGCCTTCTCATGTCAGAATCTTCACATTCTTCTGAGGATTCCGTGTCTTGATCAGTACCAAGCTGTTTTCCAGCAACTATATCACCTTTAATGAGAAGTTTCAACTGAGAAACACATCCGTCAACCTTAAAAACGACACAAGAAAGAGAAAGTAACATGAATCAAATTACCAAACGCATACAACCACTATAAGTGTTCTAAAAAAATCAGTATAGGCGACAACTAGGTATCTATCGAGCCTTAACGAAACAATTTTTTAGAACGATGTTCTAAAGATTAGTCTAGACGTTCAAAAAATTGGTTCAGGCGTCTGATAATTACTGCCTAGCTATTACTTAAACACTGATCAAACTTATTATATATATATAAAAGCTTACCACAATCCCATTCATAAAGTGATGACAACAGAAACAAGTCCCTTGCAAAATGGTGTAAAGAAGATTAAATAGTAAAGGGTGGTAAATAGGATAGACAAGCTCGATATGCCCACAATGTCCTGGGCAAAATAGTCTGGTCCGACTACATGTTTCACAACTGCATTACGAGAGAAACAGCATTATCAGTCAAATAAAGATATAAATAAAAATCAAGTCTTTATACAAAAATTTACGTAAAGAATAAGAAGTCTTTACGGTGTTGTATTGTCAAACGGACCCATAAGAGGATCATAGAGACCAGCAGGGACAGGTCTCTCAACGGTATCGAGTAAGACAGGGTTTGTAACTTTAAGAACACTGTGCTTTTGGACATCTTGTTCTGTCATGAAGCTAAATCTAACGGATTTAACGACTTGGGAAGCTCCCTGGAAAAAACCAAAACATAAGTTAAAACCATCAAAGAAGAAAATTATTTTAAAAAAAAAAAACCTCTGTGGTTTGAGTTTGAGCCATCGCTTCTGAATTTTGCAAGCACGGGGGACAATTAGGGTTCGATAAATTATTTGCTTCTAGCCCCAATGAACCCTGAGAAAGCCGCCAAAGGTTTTAGGGTTGAAGAAAACAAAATTGTCTATTTATAATTTCGTATACTATTTCCATAATTATATATAACTAACTACACTACACCGACTTAAATATTAATCTTTCTCCTGTGACATTCTGTGTGTAATTTGCTAAACTTTTCAACAAGTTTGATATATTAAACAAAATTTATGAGAGTTCATTTAATGTAAACTTTTAACTGATTTATTTAATTTTCAAGTCAGTTTAAAATGATTTTGGGGCGAATTTAGAATTTAACATCATAAGTTTTAAAAAGAAAGAAAACGAAACTGTTTTCGGAAAGAAAAGTCTTAATAAGATCAATCCCATATTCCAATCTAATAAGAGAAAGTTATACAAGTCCTATGCATTTGGGAAGAAGAAAAAAAATGACAAGGTCTATAGGGATCCTGACCCTTTACATCAATCGACTAAGAGACATAGTAAATAGTAGAGAAGTAAATGAACAAAACGGAAGTGATGATACTAAGGGATTTCACCTGAAGTTTCTTTCTTATAACAAAACTTGACATGCTTCTTGTTTGTGTTTGTTGTTTTGATCTGTTAGATCCATCTTTTACTTCTGCTTCTCCTCCACTTCTGTTTGGGAGGATGATCCTGAGTGGTGATTGTCCTTTGGCTTGGCTGGAACTACTTTGGCAGGTGTTGAACGCTCTGACTGAGAGGAGCGGATCAGGATCTGCATACAGATAGTGATGATACCTAGACCAAGCGCTGATAAAGCGATGCCTTTCCATGAAGAAAAGAGATTTGACCAGTGTAAGAACTTCATTGCTCCAAGAGTTAGTAGGCATGCCCATGACAGAACCACCTAGAAAAAGGAAAAAGAGACTTGTGAGTTTTTATGGATGGAGTCAAGAGAATGTTTTGAAGACTTACTGCAAGAGACTTTATGGGACGGCCAATGTTCTGTTCTTTCTGACCGGGGAACGTGTCTGCAGTTATGTGTTTGTCTAACAATGCATCCTGTATCACAGAACCGAGATCAAAGAGTGTCCAAATGAACTTTTTTCTTAGCTTCTCTCTATCTAATCTTTCCAAGAGGAAAAATCAGTAAATACATAATATTTACCTTAGCCACAAACTGATCTCTGCACCACTGTGCAATTTCGTCTTCTGATTCAGGCAAGTCTTTCATCGAGTGACACTTGATGTGAACATGCACCTGAAACCAGCAGCATTGGTTTGGGGAATGGTTACAAAAAGTTTTGAGATGCGATGAGTAACATATTATGGAAGCAAATGTGACATGTCACTCCTTAAACCAGCAATCAATAAGATAAGGGTTTATATTCGTTTCAGGTTGCAGTGAAAATAAAATGGATAGTGCCTGGGAATACTAAGAAATTTGTTGCGAGAAGAGTGCAAGATGTAACTACGATAGATTGCTTAACGAAATTTTATTCATATATTTTACTTGCTTACCACAGAAGGTTGTCCTTTGAATAGCCTTAGTATCGTTGGGGGTGGAGAAGTTTTTGGAATAGCCACGGTTATATCATAAATGGCTGGGACAAATGAACGCATATTACTAACAGCTGATACAAATCCCTGAAAATAAATATACAATCCAAGTTAATACCAACCACCAGGTTCATATTCAGGCAAAGAGAAAAACAGTACAACTTACTTTGGTGCGAGGAATCAACACATTTCGAGGGATAGGCAAGTCAGAGGAGGCTGCGTACTCTTGTGCTGCTTTAAGTTTTGCCTCTGTAAAGCGGGTTCCCTCCACAAAAAGGGCTAACCAGAAAGGCCGTGGAAAGTCGTTCAAGCGTTGAAGACCTGACTGTAAATTAAGATAAACACACGTAGCTCATGATCTTGAAATGAAGATTCTGTATTTTCAGGCTAATCAACGTGCTGATAAGCGTTTTACACAGGAGCAAAGCTAACTGAGTTTGCACAAGAAGAATATAAACCCATACCTTTAAAGTGCTTTCATCCTTTGCCCAATTTCTTTCCAGAAACAGATACTCCGAGAACCACATTGACCAGCCTATGACCTGTATGGAATATCAATTATATGTTTCTACAGACTACATAACAGGGTAGGAAGGAGAAGACTGCGTGAGCCTAAAAGAAACTATCGTTTTCTCAACCCAAAGCCAGTTATTAAGTTTGTAACTTATACCAGATATTCAGAAATACAAGTAAAGATTACTACTTTCTTTAAAATCAAGTACGCACATCAGTAAGCTAATAATATATTCACATACTGGAAGAAATTTGGAAGACTTCTTCATAACAGCTAATGCGCTTCCCAGGCAACCTGACCTCTGCAAGGATAATACTGAGCCAGTCAGAGAAAATATTATGATGATATATGCTTTCTTATATAATACTCAGTGGAACATTCGGGACTATAAACGCCTTCCACCTAAGAATCTATGTTCACTAGAAAACGAAATAAGGCAACACATGGTCCCAGTGCACAATTACAAGCTTGATCACCCGGAAGTCTATGTTGATCCCCTTGAAGCAAAAACGATTATCTAGAAACTGCGAGACCAAATCATAGTGTACCTGAGCTAGGATCCATCCCACAAGCCAATCAATATCACTGCGGTGATTACAAACGACAAGAGCATGTTCTTTGCCTGGAAGAAAAGTAATCAAGTTAGAGATTCGTAGATGAATAGAACTTGTATAGTTCGATTCCCAATAAGGATGAACTTACCCATTCGGTTGAAGGTCTCATCATCAGCAAACACTTGGATCTAGGGCAAAAAAAACCCATCATCATCAGAGAGTAGGATGATTCTAATCTGTTCGTTGACTAAAATAAACTAGCGGTGACAATGATACGCAGGCACAGAGGTATAAGTTTCTAAGTCATTTTAGTAAATAGGGTAAAAGGGGATACCTTTACACCAGCCCACCAGTCAACGATCCAGACAAGCTGAAGCCACAAGGTTTCAGCAACCACCCGGTTGATTTTTCTGTATGTGTTCTTAGACAGCGGTCGAACGAGGACATAGCAAATTGCCTGAAACCATTTTTAAAAAACTTGTAAACATCAAAACCTGAAGCAAACGAAGTTCACAGAGAGAAGGCACGCACTTTATACTTTAAAAAAAAAACAACAAATTTAAACGATAACACAACTCTTTTGCTAAGTGAAATGGAATTTGAGCTTTGAGACTCGTATGTGTTGGTCTCACACACACACACACTCTATCAAAAAACCCTAAAAAGCAGTTGACTCAATAATAATACACGGAGAAGGTGAGGAGGAGGAGGAGGATCTCTACAAATGCAGCAGCACGACACTAACGGAATCTAAGACAGGAAGGTTACGGATTTACCTGAAGGAGATTGACAACGAGGCCAGAAATGAAGAAGAGAATCCCCAAAGGAACAATCACAGCCGCTGCCATCGCCATGGAAAATCAAGTTCCCCAGATTCACATAAAAACCCAAATCCCCCAGATTCCAAGACAACTTGCTGATTAATTTAAATTTTAAAAGGGGAACAAATAAATAAAGCCAACCAAAAAAATACAGCAAATCGTGAAATTCACTTTGCGGATAAAACTGGTAGCGATTGGATTTTTTTAGGATTTATTAATTGGATTGGATTTATATATACGGGGATGATCACGAGGATACTCTCGAACACGGAATCGGCGTTTCTCTCTTTTATTTCTCTCTACCCCTTCTATTTCTTTTCTTTCTTCAAAACGTATCCTTATCTCTTCTACTTTATCAGATCGACCCACTTGATTTGTGTTTTCATTTTGAACTGGAGATGTGGAATCTATATTATAATGATACACTTTAAATGCTCCTTAAGATGTCCACATAGACAGATTATGGGTCCCACATTTTTATATTAACATAGATAGTTTTTTTAAATTGGTTACAAACAATGAATATCAGTTTAGCCAAGTGGTCTAAGGCCCCATGTTTGGTCTGCAAGCGCATGGGTTCAATTCCCACTGCTCTCATGCATAGATATTTTGTAAACACACATAGTCTTGATAAGATGGTCGCAAACAATGAAATACACTTTAGTCAAATGGTATAAGGTGTCTAATTAAGTATGCAAGATTGTGGGTTCAAACCATGCAGCTATCATGTATTTTTGATTTTTTGATTTAGGTTATTATCATATGGGCTTTTTGTTTATAAGATTCTTATTTTTTTTTGTCTTATTGTTTTAAAGATCAAAATAGTTGTATAAACTCTAAACCTTAACAAGTTCAAACCCAAAATAGTTAAAAATGAATCCAAAACGAACAATAAAAAAAAAAAACAAGCCTCACGTGGTTGCCTACGCGGATGGCTTAAAGAACCTTAAAACTATCATATTATAATATAGCTCAACCCAAAAATAATAAAAAATAAATCCAAAAACAAACAGACCAAAAAAAAAACAAAAAAGAAGTGAATTCCACGCGGGTGCATACGTGGATGGCTTAATGAGGGTTGAATAATATAGATTAGGAGCTCAAAAAGTTAAATCATTGCACATATTTCCTAATATATATTTTCAAAAAATTCGTATGTGAGATAAAATAAAATAAAACAACAAAAATTAATTATTTTCGTTATTTATTAAATGAATATATAATTTCTCTTACATTTTAATAACTACTATAATTTCCTTGAAAACATTCCTCACCACCGATTTCAGACTCCGGCGAATGGATTCCCACAGTCGATGACGCCGTAGATAAAAATGCCACATCATTTATGAACAAAACTCAAACTTACAAAAAACCATATATAAAAACCTATCTAATGAAACTTAAACAACAAATATTAACTTAATTAAGGTTATTTTCAAATTGATAAATCGTTTAATACAAATATAAATATAGAATTATATCAAGTTTTGATCTACGATATAAAAACTATTTACAGCAAAAAAAAAAACCACACCTACTTTTACACACTAAAAACTATATTATAGCCTAACTATTCCTATAAACCTTACTTCGCATATAAATAACATTTAACA